GGGGGGTGGGAGGTTGGGGGAACCAGGTGGTGGGTATTAGAGAGGGCATGGATTGCATGGAGCACTGGGTGTGGTACAAAAACAATGAATACTGTTATGCTGAAAATAAATTAAAAAAATTTTTTTAAAACTTAGTAGAACTACAAGAATTTAACAAAAAATAGCAAGTCCTTAGTTTAGTACTTCCCACTCACTTGCCACTTCTTAGCATTAAGTCTTCAAAGTTGTAACATACATATTATAGCATATATCAGGATATCATTGTCATTAAAGGCTGAATAATATTTCATTGTGCATACCAAAAAAAAACCGTTGTATCTATGAAGTATACAAGTTTTAGGGCAATGCTGGGAGTTTAATATCTTCTTTTATCTTCATATGGGGTTTCACAGTTTTATGGGGACACTGTGTTGGTTGTTCTCTCTCTCTCTTTTTTTTTTTTTTTGGCTGGCTCTCTGGGGGAGGTATCTGCTGGGTTGTTTTTCAGGCAGTCTTGCTTGGGTTGACTCCTCCTGCCCCCTAAAAATGAGCAGGAGGAGTCCTGAGGAACCCGGTTTTTCAGGCTTTTGTTCTCTGGAGGGTTTTTTTTTCCCTTTGGTGGCTTTTGGTGGTTCTTCAGAGGTTGGGAGGAAAGCAAACTGCACCCAGACCTCTGTCTCAGAAAGAAGCCTCATTCTGTTCCCCTCTGGGAGGTCCAGAGCACATAGACTCCCCCTCTGCCACATCGCACCAGCCAAGCATGTCCCCACCCACCATCTCAGGTGTTGCAGGAGCTCCCACTTGTTTCTGCACCGTGGTGATACTAAAACCATGAGCAATATCGGTCTGGGGAGACTGCTTCCAGTGACTGCCTTTGCCGGGCTGCTGTCTGGGCAGGTCCAGACAGCCGGAGAGATCCCAAGCAGAGACAGCATGCTGAGATTTTCATGTTGGCCTGGGCTGGGAGTGCTGACTCTTGGTTGGTCATAAGACCACCGGCCAGAGCCTGCATGGACCTCTCTTAGGGGAGGGTGTGGAGAATGGCGCAGGCCCCCCCTGTGCAGTGTGGGTACAGAGTGCAACAAGCTGTGGTTCTAGAGAGCACTGGCTGGCATGCACCTGGACTCTCTCACGTGTGCCAGTGGCTCAGGGACCATGGCCTGGATGCTTCATCACACTCTCTCTTACATTGTGCTGGATGGTGGGAGCCATCCTGTGTCAGTGGGCTTAAGCCCATTCCCATAGCCGTCCCATTCCACCAGTTGCCCCTTAAGATCTTTTGCTCTTTTTGA